TGTGGGAGAGAAAAAAAAATTAAGTTTGCTAACAAAAGATGAATACAGGACTTTAAATTAGAAACCATTGTTTGTAGTCTTTATTTTTGCACCCATGCCTCACCTCACAATCCCGACCTTTCAAGACATCACAATATCATACGCCTGCAAGCGCTATTTCATGACCCCCTATGCAAAGCCAGCACCAGGCCCTCAAGCCCATTCATTGCTCAAACGAGAGCCCGGATTGAAAGGACCTTCGGCCAGCTGAAGGCCAGATTTACATGTCTGTGGGGTCTGGCGGCTGGCAGGGCACGTGACATCACTGTGACACGTGCAGTGCTCGATGTGGCTACGATTAGGAAGAGAGGGTCCCAGTAATCATGGACCATGCTGAGGATGACCTAGAGCCCGTCCACATGGATGAGCAGACCGGCTGCAAGGGACATAATTGCCCACCAACTGTTTAGTTAAGATGACTTTCGGTAATGTTGAACTCATTTCATCCTTTTCTTTATTTGTATGGGGTTTAAACGAAAGATAGGTAGGGACACGCTCTAAAATAATTTGTTCCAACTTCACCACCCAATTGGTCATTATTTTGGTGGGCATTCACAATATCCTGAAAGAGCATAAACCAATATACAAACCAATGGCTCTGACTTTTTTCGAGGTGAGTAAAATCTTAACGTTAAATGTTTATGTATAAGTGAAGTGAAGTTAAATGATAATCAGCCAGTTGCAATTGTGTTTAGATCTGACTGCTCTGCCAGTATCCGTCTTTTTACGTTTGCGGCTGGTTTGAATTCGTATTCAAATACTGGCCTTCTCGGCTGGTCCGAGATGCTAGCTAGTTAGCTAATGGAACGTTGGTTAGATAACTTAAACCGCGGATTCAAATACTGGTGGATTCAAATACTGGCCTCCCGTGCTCCTCGGCTGGTCCAGGAGTAGCACCCCATGTTTCGGCACTAAGTTCGCCGTCTCTGTGACATTTTTTTTTTGCATGTCATTCTGTTCATTTGTTGTGTGTAAACCCGGTATTTCTGCGTAGTTGCATATAAAGTTAGGCTACACTATTGTTCTGAGCCAACACCACCAAACTTCAGTCAACGGACAGGCCGGCAATCCCGTCCGGCTCCATGGCTGTCTGGACTGGTACGTGCCGAGAGAGCCGCTGTGAGAGCATCAGAAAGGAAATGGCGTAAATATAAACAACCTGAAGACCTGCTTGCGTTTCAATCTCTTCTCTCCTCTTTTTCTGCTTCTATCTCTGCTGTCAAAAGCTCTTTCTACCGATCCAGAATTGAATCTTTTCTATCTTCTCCAACCTCCTCGAATCCCCCGGTCCTCCTCCCCCTGTCTTCAAGGATTTTAACAATTTTACCAAAAGAATAGGTGACATATGCTCCTCTTTCTGGAACCCATCTCCTATTGTGTCCCACCAACTTCCTCTCATCGCCCTCGCGTCTCCTAATTAAGTTCACCTCAGTAACCTCTGCCATGTCCAACCCCATTCCATATTCTACAATCGCTCCTGACCTTCCTTTCCTCCCCTGTCTCATTAACACTCCTGTTATCTGGCTATTTACCCAACTCTCTGAAGGAGGCAAGAAACCCACCCTCAATCCATCTCAAGAAAACTACAGACCGGCAGCGTTGGAAATACACATGGCCAATTTTGCCCACATAATCACTGGGAGAGGGGCAAATTATGCCCCCATAATTTCCTCTAACAATAATGACAATTTAGTCAACTTGTGAAAAACAAGCCATAATGACCCTCCTCCAGTTCTTAAAGAATGTTTTGGATTCTCCCGTGTGCAGGAAGAATCAAATGTTCTTTAATAAAAGTAGCGCTTCCTGATCAGACCTGTGAGTGTGCGGAGAGCAAATCCAGTCTCAGTCATGATTAAAGGTCCAAAAGAAATGCACCCATCGAAAAATGGAAGATAGATTAGCTTAGATTGGAGGAAGACGACAGGAGAACCACCCACATTTTTTTAAGGCATTAGAAGCACTCAAACATGCCGACAACGACCTGCCAACATCGTTGTCCACACACACCGGCAAATACTTCAGACTTTATCAAGGGGAGTGAAAACATTAAGAAATACACTCTCGCTATCAGATGACCGAACAACGTACCATCACCTACGGGGAGCAATAACGAAGTATTCATTATTTTGAAATGATTTAGTTAGCTAGCTCTTATTAGCTATCTAACTAACGATAGCTATGAAGGCTTGCTAGCGGATAACGTTAGACAGAGTGTATTCAGTGAGAGAGGTTTCCTCTCTATTTGGGTAAAATATAATTAGTTGATGGGGGTTTCAAGGTTTAAATGTTTTGTTCTTTGTTTTTACATAAGCATGGATTAATCAGCTCAACAGAAAGGCCAACTGTGGAAGCTGTCACGGTGTGGTTCACTTCCTGTCTTATTTTGTAGTTTTCTGCCACTCGTGTCCCCGGGTAACTTCACTTCCTGCCTTGTCCTGTCATCCCCTGTGATCGTCTAATAGTTTCCACCTGTGTCCAATCACCTGCACCTCCCTTGTGTATTTAAGCCGTGTGTCTCTTGTGTCACTTGTCGCGTCATTGTCTATCGTCGTAGCTGTTCGTAGTTCCTGCCTGCTGTTTTGCCCCTGGTTCCTGTGTGTTTTTGCCCCTTGGCCTTTTGCTTTTGACTATTCAAGTCTTTTGCTTTCTAAGAAGTCTGCGTTTGAGTCCTGCCTCCTCCACCCATCCCTGACAGAAGCTATGAATCAGATGTGTCCCAGATTACTTAGTACAAGAAACTACAAAGAAATAAATAAAAATAAAATTGAATGAATTCAACTTTGAATCTGTAGACTTCTAACAGACCTATTTATGCCATTTGATGACAAATGCATATACAGGAAGTCCAAATAAGTATATTAATTATTTTTTACAAAAAGGTTAACTGCTATTTCACAATTTTCAAAAAATTCCCACAATTTCTTCTAAAATGCCCCTGGTTTTCAGTCAGTGGCGGCAAAAATGGCCCCCTAAATAATATGTAAATTTCCTCCCCTGTTATGGCTGAGACTGGAGGGAATGAGGAAACCTCTCGGTGGACATTTGCGTATAAGGAACTGTAAACCGATCCTTTTCAGTCTTCACACGTTTCGTCGATTGATTATGAATGAAAGCTTTGGTCTCGGAAAAAAAAAATCTATTTTAAACCAAAGCTTTTTGTTTTGAGAGTAAAAGTTTTTGTTTTACAGGCAAACAATTGCTTACGAAACAATACGCAAAACTAACTAATCTCAGTTTATACATTTTTACTTAACTCTTCGTTTGCAATGCAAGAAATTTGCTCCCGAAACAGTTAGGGTTCTGGGGTGAATTTTTGAAAAAGAGACTGCAAACTTTCATAATAAAGCACTGAAAAGTCCCTCTCCAGTCAAACCGATGAATAGTGCTCAGACGGGCAGACATGTTGGTCCACCAGATTTATCTCTGAATGCAGTGAAGGGCAAAGTCTAGAGATGATTTTTAAATTTATTATAATATTTATTTGCTGCAAAAGGCCAGGAAGAAAAAAAATATCATTTAATTTATTATACAGCCCTTGCCTCTTTAAGATTAGTAGTTTAATATGTGACATGTGTTACAGAAGTTTAATTTCAGCAATTGAATCTTTGAGATGCACTTTCACACAGAATTTGCTGCTGGGCACCATGAATTGGGTATGATCCAGAGGTCAACAATAACTTACTACAAACTTATAAAATCTTCACAGCACCTTTTATGTTACAGCTTGATTATAAAAGGGATTAAAGTCATTTTTTTCCAGCAACCTCATAATGGCAAAGTAGAAAACGTTTTTAAGCTTATTTGTAAATCAATTTATAACTATTAAGTATTCAGTCTTGGCCATGCCTCTTCTAATTGAGCTAAGGTGCATGGAGTTTCCACTGATGATGATGATTGAGACATTTCTCCAACTTGATTGGAGTCAACCTGTGGTAAATTCAGTTGATTTGACACGATTTGGAAAGCCACACACATGTCTATATAAGGCCCCACGGGTGACAGTACATGTCAGAGCACAAACCAAGTCTTGATGTCCACGGACGTGGGTGCAGACTTTTGAGAGGATTGGGTCAAGGCTAGTGATGGCTTGATGAATCTGTCCATCCAATAGGTAGTGATGGCAAAGTGAAGCTTTCTGAAACAGTGAAGCTTTCCAGCCAATTGTATGGGAAAAAGGTTCATTCATTCAATGCATCGCAAACTCTGATGACCTCTGCTGTTGAAAACTTGTAGTGCATATGTTTCGAATAGCCTACCAGTATATTTTTGCCCAGTCTCTGTGGGTTGAACATGATTATGAAAAGTTGAACCAATAAATCATCTAATAAATACATGAATTCCTATATGAATAAAACTATTGTTTTTCAGTTTTGTATTTGTGTCTAATAAACAGAGGTGTCAAGTAACGAAGTACAAATACTTCGTTACTGTACTTAAGTAGAAATCTTGGGTATCTATACTTTACTGGAGTATTTATTTTTCAGACGACTTTTTACTTCTACTCCTTACATTTTCACTCAAATATCTGTACTTTCTTACATTTTAAAAACGGCCTCGTTACTTCTGGCTTGTCGTAGTTCAAAAACACAAAGACAAAAAAAAACATCTAGATAAATGGCGCTATCAGGGGCCTGTTTCAGAAAGGAGGTTAAGTGAAAACTCTGAGTATGTTAACCCTGAAATGAGGGAAACTCTGAGTTTTCTGTTTCAGAATGGGAGGTATGTTAAACCTGAGAAAGCAGAGTAAGTCAAGCCTGTTTCAGAAAGAGAGGTAACTTATACTCCGAGTCAGTTACCATGGCAACTTACTCTGTGAACCTAACCTGGTCGGGAGCAGGTTTTCTTCGGGAAACCCAGAGTTTATTTCGTCTCCTCCCCTTTTTTAAAGAGGAAGTGGTATTTAATCACCTCATTCATTCTTTCGGTATTCATTCATTGCGCACATTTCAGTCACGCTTAGCGCATCAAATCAAGTGAATGAAATGGCATGTCCTTTTATGGACGATCCTGTGGATGAAGAGGCTGCATTAATCCGTAGGGAGTTGCATTTAAGTTGGGAGAGGATTTTGTATAACATTGGGGATGCAGAACATATCAGTAAGGCTACTGTTTGCAGAGTTGTAAGGAAAGTGTGCCTCGCTCTTAAGCGCTTTCTCCGAATTTTTGTGCTGTTTCCTGGGCACAAACCCGTGAGAGCCATCAAAGAGGAGTTTCACAGGATTGCAGGTCAGTGATGTATAAATCGGTTTAAATGAGGCTAACCTGATAAATGACGTTCAGTTAAGAGCATATTGCTGCGACCCCTGGAAGTAAACTAATAATAGAATTCCTTTTAGGATTTCCGAATGTGGTTGGATGCATTGATGGCACACATATTCCCATCATTGCACCTTCCGAAAATGAAGCGGACTATGTCAACAGGAGGTCCATCCACAGTATTAATGTGCAGGTACACTGAAAGCCTACTGTTTCTAATGGTCAAAGACTACATCACAATACTATAACATGTCTCATTCTTTGCATTGTCAAGATCATATGTGATGCTGCACATCTCATTACAAATGTGGAGGCCAAGTGGCCCGGTTCTGTTCATGACTCACGAATGTATCGTGAGTCAACGCTGAGCAACAGACTGGAAACTGGTAAGTAAATGCATGTATTTCAATGTATGCACTACACACTTACTGGGGAACTTCTATGCAGCTCTAAAGCAATGTGAACTTTCTTACAGGAGAGATTGATGGCTTTCTGCTGGGAGATAGGGGTTACCCATGCCGACCAACACTAATTACCCCTTACCCAGAACCTGAACCAGGCCCCCAGCGCCGCTTCAATGTGGCACACTGCAGGACGAGAGCCTGGGTGGAGATGACCATAGGCCTGTTGAAAGCACGTTTCCAGTGCCTACGTCACCTCAGGGTAACCCCTGAAAGGGCCTGCGACATTATTGTGGCATGTGTTGTTCTCCATAATATTGCCATAATTAGAGGGGAGCAACACCCTGCCCTACAAATACAAGACCCAGAGGAAGACCCCATCAACCCGGCAGATTTCCAGGAGGGAAGGGTAGTCCGGGATATGATATGCCGAAATGTCTTCACAGATTAATACACATTATATCCACCACCACAACCAACCAACCACAAAATAAAATAAAAATGAATAAACACAAAATCACAGCAATTTATATGGTGTTCTTTATTTCCTAAACATAAAAAAAAAATAGAATTTAATATATTTTCAATACTTAGAATTCACCTGTGACCATGCACTCACCAATCTCAATTTCCAGATCTGCCTTTTGGATCTGGCGGTCCAAGTATACAAGTTCTTTGCTGTTTTTTTCTATCTTTTTAATAAGAAGAAGTCTATATAACTCCTTAACTGGCAACTGAAAATACAGTAGATTACAGTTACATCATGTAGTTCTAAAATTCTACAATATTAAACTGTGGCATTTACTGAAAAAAAAAATCACTGAACTGTGTTCATCTGTGCACCAGAAGTTGATGGACCATCCTCTTGCTGTTCTTCCACACTCTGGGGAGAGATAAAAATACCTGTTTATACTTAGATTTAAACTTAGATTCTATAGGCTACTCCACATAAAAAAGGAGAAGAAATGTGAATGTGTAGATTGTTTGATAGACACATAATATTAACATTACCTCTGTAGGCATCTCTATGGCAGCAGAAACTGTTTCTTCATCCCCATCATCCTGTGAAGATGAGCATTTGAGTACACTTTATAACACTATTTGTAATAATTTCTGGTGTATTGAGTAGGCTACTTACAACTGCCTGTGGTTCTGTTGGGACAGGAGGCTCCAAAAGACTAATTTTACCATCAGAATCTGTTGGGACCAACGAAAAACCCACCCCAAAGTAAAATAAATGGAAATATCACAAATAGCCTATATAAAAACACAACACATAGGTAGACCTCTTACATTTTATGAAGGCACTTAAATCTTCTGGAGTGACTGGCTCTGATGAAGTCCCTCCAGGAATTCCCTCAGCCATTGGCCTTCCAGCATTCAGGCTCAGGGCCATCTCCTCTGCATTTGTCAGAGGTGGTGGTGCAGGTCCTCCCCCCGTTTTGCGAGCCTCTGCCTTCTTTCTGTTGGCTGAGTAGTCAAATGAGAATGAACATTTAGACCCATGTCAAAAATGCTGCTGCACTGCTAGACACTGGATGCTATTTAGTTATTTATATGTCAAATGTTTGTAAAGTCAGGTAGACTACAACCATGATATGTTCAAGCCTTACCTGATTGAATTATGTTTTTATATTTCATTTTCAGCTGCTGTCATGTTCTTTTAATGCCTGCAGGATTGCACCTACATGAAAATTAAAATTAGGTTGAATAACACACTGTTCTTCCAGTTTCACTTCTGATATTATGACAGTTGGGCAAGTCACTTATATTACTAACTACAACTGGCTTCTTCAACAGTGTAATTAGATTAATGTAATAATGACTATCTCTAGAAAGTATTGGTCTACTTATTACTAATTACTTTCTAAATCCCATATCAACCTCAACCACTTGAACAATACAAGGAGAGACAAGAAACTGCACTTTTAATGCTTTCAAATAAACATTATACAATTGCATGAATTATTCTTGAAAAAATATATCTTTTAAAATTTGATGTTAAATCCACTATTGTTTTATACAGAATTGCTTTATAGTTTATGCAGCATTTAATGCAATTACATCAGATTTTACTTTAAATTACGGAATTAAATTACAGTTTTTAGATTACATAGAAATTAATTACACACAACACTGTATAACAGTAATTCAAATGTAAACTTACGCATTGACTCGAGCAGCTATTTTCTCCCAAGCTAACTCTCTGTCCTTCGCCGCTGCAGCCGTGTTGCTTTTTTTTTTTAAATATATGTTCGTTCTCTCCATATGCTTGCATAAGCACATCCAGTTCTGCTGGTGAAAAATATGAAGACCTCTTTTTGTCTGGCGCTGTTGCCATGGTGACTCGTAATATCTGCGCTCCATTGATAATGGCTTTTTATAGTTGTGGTGCACGCGCTTAACGTCAACTCAGAGTTGATTGAACTAACTCATTTCAGCTGTTCTGTAACCGAAAACTCAGAGTTTCCCATCTCAGGGTAAGTCAACTCAGAGTTCAAGTTTTAACTCAGAGTTGGTTGAACCTCCTTATTGAAACAGGCCCCAGGTCAGATACCCTGGGGTCTACATGCACCCGTAGGTGCCTCTGTTAGAGACACTGGATTAGAAGCCAGCGGCTGTCGCCCAGTGTGTCGTAGCAGTGAGGTAAGCGGTGTGATGGGTCAGATCGTGGTAGGTCGGTTTAGAGCAGACCTGGGCATCGTACGGCCCGCGGAGGATTCTGACCGGCCCGCGAAAGACCACATGACGTAGAAAAAGAAACATATTTTCTAACTAAAAGCGCATTGCTTTTATTTTGAAGGCCATTTATTCTCACGGTGCACGTCAGCTGTGCACGTGAAATGCGTGTGATTGACAGGTCACCCCTGAACTCTACCTTCTGTTTCAAACAAAGATGGACTATTTCCTCCTTTGCTGAAGTCAAAGGTAAACCTGTGTGTTTGCTTTGTGGGGAGCATGTCGCCGTGTTTAAAGAGTACAATTTGAAACGGCTTCACGAGACCGAACATGGCGATAAAGACAAAAACTCGACTGATGCCGAGCGAGCGCGGATCAACGGATTTACTAGCAAAGCTCGAAAAACCACACGGCTGTTTTACAAAGCTGCAGCCAGAGATGCAGCGACCAGAACCAGAACACGAAGCCATTCTGTGAGGGGCAGTTTGTGAAGGAGTGCGTGGTCGAGTCCAGAGGAAAAAGAAGCGTTTGAAACGCACCGGGACGAGGAGGGTGGAGGACATCGCGGGGAATCTGGAGTTTCAGCTGCAAGGTGACGCGTGAAGCTCTGGATGAGCGCCGTGACGTCCGTCACGCGGCCCAGCTGCTCAAGTCTCCCCGGTGGACGACGAGCGACTTCAAGCTTACGGAGGAGCCGGCAGCAATGCGGCCAATGAAAGGAACCACGACGGGGACGGATCTGTTCACCGGGGCAAACGCATGCAGGGACAAACCGGGACGCCAATGGGACAGACTGGCAGGGGTCACCACGGATGGATGTCCAAATCTGACTGGGAGGAATGTTGGGCTTTTGGAAAGAATGCAAGATAAAGCGAGTGAACTCGCCGCAGAGCAGGAATTGGTGTTCATACGTTGTGTTGTTCATCAGCAAGCGTTGTGTCCGTCAGCGCTTAAACTTGTTGTTACTACAACAGTTGATTTCATGGCAGCGGAGCATTGAACCACAGGCAGTTTGTTTCACTATCGGAGGAGCAGGAGAGCGAACATGCTGATGTCCGGTACCACACAGCTGCCACATGGCTCAGTCCGGGCAAAGTGCTGAAAAGGTTCTGACTTCTGAAATCAGAGGTAAGAGTTTTGTGAGATGGAAGACAAAACCACCCCAGAGCTGTCTGATAAGGACCGGATGGCAGATTGAACGTTTGCTGTTGCTGTGACTGCAGTGATGAATGAAGTGAACACACAGCTGCAGGCCGAGGGCCTCTTTGCTCATGAAATGCACATCCATGTGAAAGCCTTCGTGACAAAGCTGCAATTCATTTCAAGGCAACTGGGCAGCAACAATGTCAAACACGTGAAAACCCTGAAAGAAGTCAAACCATCATCTGATCACCGGCACTCGTCCATGTTAGGAGCACTGCGTGATGAATTTAAGGCGATTTCAAAAAGGTTGAGGATGAAATGCAGCTGGTTTCCTCTCCTTTACCACTAATGTTCAGCTTGAACTCACTGACCTGCAGGCTGATTCACTACTGAAAGAGCACTTTAAGTCAGCATCACTGCCAGAGTTCTACTCTGCTCTCAACGAGGAGAACTTTCCAAACAGGAGGAGACGTGCTCAGAAGATGTTGGTTCTCCGTGGATCCACCTACATATGTGAACAGACATTCTCAGTCATGACGTTTACCAAATCCAGGTACAGATCCTCTCGCTGATGTCAGCTGTGCTTCACATCTCCACCTCAGACATTCAACCTGACTTTGATGGACTTGTTGCAGCTCCACAGAGACTGGATTTCTCACATGAATGAGAAAAGAACTGAAGACACTAAAATGTGTGAATATAACAAGTGAAATGGGACACTTGATATGCTTCTTTTCTTTTTTTGCACCGTTCTGAAAATGTTTTAATACAGGCGTGTACAAGTTCTCTGAGATCGTGACGCAGATCGCTTGACTACCCGGGTAAAATAAGACCGTTGCTGTTGACCAAACGTGACCCGTGGAAATAGCCTATATGTGAATTTCCTGCTGAAGCAGGTAAAACGATATCACTGTTCTTGTTAACCAGACGTGAGTTCTACTGAATCACCTTTAGAACAAGATCGTGGCAAAATCCAAGCGTGAGTTTTTGCAAAGTTTTTCCTTGAGTAAAGAAACTCCGCCTCACGCTGACGGCTGTATTGTAATAAGTAAACCGGTAGGGTCCACCAGTAAAGATGGGTGGCCAGTCCGCCAAACACACGGAACCGTCGGGTCCGATTGTGGCAATGATGCAGCAGAAATACGGGAGAACACGTACAGAGTGTCGCCCATACTGGACAAAAGAGTTTGGGTTTCCAGAAAACGGCTCGTTGAGTGCCGCCAAACTTAAAACGTTAAGAGGGGATTTGGAAGGTTAAAGGATTTAAAAGTGGGAATAAGGTCAAAGTGAAAGACCTGGAAATAATGGAGGAAACCCCAGACACGTCTGGCACAATGGGAAACGGGATGTGAATGATGGAGAGAAAACAGATGATGGAGAGCTCACGTGTGAAGGGACGACTACTGCTGCCTCTCCAAAACAGGGAAGTGACACGCGATCGTATCAATACCGAAACCCAACACCAAAAAACAGCTGACGTCCTTTTTGGGCATGTGCTCATACTGTCGACCATTTATTCCAAACTACTCACGAATGGAACAACCGTCATCAAACTTAATCCACGGGAAACATCTTCACATCTTCACACAAATGAAACGTGCTCGGTGACGTGCGAGTCAGTGGCGCAAGACGTCCAACCATCAGCTGTTATTGCAACTCAACGCTTCTCTTGTTTTACTTTCTCGTACAGACGAGGGATTTGTTTCTACCTGGAATGTGGAACCTCGGCTCCAGTATGTTGAGGAGTGTTGTGTTCATGTATGAAGAAACGCCGGACGGACAGAGGTCATCGCTGATCAAAAGGTTCAAATCAAATGTATTTAATAAAGGAGATGGCGTTGCGGTAAAGAGAACATCTCAGCTGAGGAGCCGCTGGTCTCAGCGACCAACAGGCCCCAGGTCAGTCCTTTGAC